CACAGGCTGTAATATATTTAATAAGGAAACTTGATATGTGCTTTTAACTGATTAATAAGAACATGCTAATTTTTCATTTTGAAAAGTTTGAAAATCTTGTGACTTTTCCGTCTTAGGTTCTACGTTAAATGGACTTTTTTGCTCGCATACTAATCGTTATTTCCATCATATAGTTCATGTCAGTGAAATACTGGGGCTCTTACTGAGAATGAGAGTCCTAACTATAGATCAGTATCAATTACTTTAACTTTAAACATATTTTATTGAGTAATTCAGTAAGGATTGGGCAACAGGCAATGCCTATGTACACCCTCTCCTTGTATAATTGGTTAAGATACAATAGTAGGTAATAATACATGAACATGATAATCAATAAAATTATAATGAAAAATAAAGATACAAAGTCAAGTATTATTTATCAATATTATAGTTCAAAAAAGATGACAACCCCCTAACTGTATACATATTATTTACATACTGTTCCAGCTTAAAAATAATACAAATATTTGAAGAAAAAAAATTACGCATTTAATAGAATATTTAATATAACAGTGTCCCTAATTTAGTCTTCTCGAAGATTTAATAAAATTCTTGTACATATGAAAATATTTTACAATTTGTTTGATAAGAGTATTGACATTTTCCTCTTAGTAGAGCGTCGAGTTCAAAAACAACATCAATATCATTTAATTTTTTTACCAATATGTTTCTTTCAACATTATACGATGGGCAGTTGATAAAATAATGTTCAGTATCTTCAGTATGAAATCCACACTTTTGACATGATTGAATATCTGATAAAAAATGATTTTTTAAATGTGCATTAAGATTACTAGCATTGTTTCGCAACTGACAATGCAAGATATTTTCTTTTCTGTTACCAAAGTTAAAGTATCTACGAGGTTTATTATTTGCTCCCCAATTCTTAAGCTATGAGTTAAAGATAGCTAATGAAGGAGAGTTTTTTACATCTTCACTAAGACTGTTCCAAAGTTTTATCAATTATAGTTGTGTTAGCGACGTCGACGATATGGTGTTCCTTTATGGTTAACCATTGTTGTAGAGGTTGACAGGGAGTCCTGAGTTTGAAACATTATTAGGATTAGTATTCAAGTCCAGCAGAAACCAGTTCTATCTACTTTTGACCAATTTTTTTAAATAACCTAAAACAAGTGAATGACTTCTTAATATGTTCTGGAAAAAATACCTTTTAATTTGAATGCCAAATATTTTCCTACTTGCTGAATCATTCGTGGCAATGTTCGATGGAAATTATTGGTCAGACCTTCAATATGATACTATTTCGGATCTAAGTTCACATAATTAAATAATTATAATACTTTAATCTCGTATAAAACAGGAAATATATTTTTGTTTTCTTCATTAAACAAGGACCTGTTGTGTAATGGGTGAGAACTATTTATTTCGATAAAGCGTCACTGAAAACTTTGAAATTGATGAACAAAATGTCTGTTTCATTTTTAATTGTATCAATGTTAAGAGTTTAAAGTTTTAAATTGTATGCATAACTGAAATTGCTGGAAATGAAGATGCGAAGATATAATTAACCACAATGTTTTTTTAAAAAAAAGAGAACAATAATTTGGCAAATCCTACAGTAGGCCCGTCTAAGTTTCTTTACTATTATACTTTTATTTTTACTTTGCAGTTTCTTAAATATGGGATAAATATTTAATAAAAAGATTTTTTTAAATAAGGAGGTTCTAAGCTACAGTGAGTCGGTAATAGTAATAAATTACATCTGTAAAATCTAATTTAAAATCTTATATCTTTTTTTTTTTTGATAAAGAGATTTGGTGTTATTGGATTTTAATAGCTATTATTTAGAAATAAAAATTGCAATTTCCAAATGATTTTTTTTTCGTTTAAAATAACCCATTGAATTGCTAAAAGAAAAGTTACATATGACAAAGAAAACAAACCGGTAAGTTGGAAAAGCAGCGAAAAAAGCAAAATTTGAAGTGAAAAAAATTATGTGAAGATGGAAGCAAATTCTGATTCAATAAATTGAAATGAGCACGTTAGTTTATAAACGGGAAGTAAAATTTTTATGTCATTGATTTATGATTTCATGATTTGTTTCTTTTCGAATAATTACATAAATTTTGGATGAATCAAATAATAAATTAAAATAATTTTGTTTCCAAGGTGGCTTAAAACGGAGTGTGGCAGCGCTTCTAGCGTTAGCGGCAATCGTTTTAGGTAAGCAATGGATACGCTTTATATTATTTGAATACTGTAGAATGGCAAATATTCACAATGGTTTTAATTTACTATGTTCGCGATTTATCATTTTTCTGCGAAATTAAACCCATCGTGAATGCTATCATTAGTTTTTAAAAATGCTTTAAAGAAACTTAAATTAATTTTTCGCAGCATGAAAGTAAAACAATATCAATTGGTACTTTTTGAGAAATCGTGAAATTTCAACACCGTGGGATTAAAACGACTTACAGTATACAATTGTTACAACGCGAAATACAAGTCACGTAATTTAACATTGAGAATAAGGGAAATTTTGTAATTATAAGAAATCCCTCTTTATTATCGTTTAATTCATTTTTTGCCTAATTTCGCAAAAGTCGCCACAAATATTAACATGCTTTCGGCTGAATTTCCAATAAAGTCGACATGTTTATTATACATCTCTTGTTTCCTTGTTTGATTTATACCTCCCTTTTTCTCTTTTACTCCATCAGGAGCCCCGGATAACAGAGGAACTGAGTTTATCATTGGTTTCATGGAAAACAATGGCGTCTCAATAAAAGTGGAGCTCTTTATCACCACCTCTCGTACCACCACAGTCAGTGTGACCGTGGACTCCCCCAAATGTACCAACCCCAGGATCTCCGAGTCCTTCACCGTGACTACGGGACAGGTTAAGCAGCTATTCTTCAATCCTAACATCAGGTACGTTCAATGCTGAATACTCATTTCAATAGTGATATAATGTGTCTTTCAAAAGAAATATATTTTTTTTTAAATCTCGACTTACAATTTCTGATTTGAAGACATGATCAGCCCAAAAACCATCTTTCTAAACTTAACAGACTTTGTATGAATTATTAAAAGCACAATGAAAAACAAAAGCTGATGAAATTCTCAATATATTATTGTAGAATGGCAGGATCAAGTAAATCTAGTAAAGGGATTCGAGTTAAGGCTTCGGATGAAGTCGTCATATACGGGGTTAACAAGGAGCGTTACTCCTGCGACGGCTTCGTCGGTCTACCAATAGATGTACTGTCTGACGAGTATTACTTGGTCACATGGTACCCTCCTTATTACCAGTGTGAGTTGTTAGTAGTGGGCGTGCAGGACTCCACGTCCGTCAGTATAACAGTAAGTCAACATATGGGGAGTAGATACATAACGTATGCAGGAAAAAAATACTACAAAGGAAACACCATAAAGGAAACCCTCAATAAATACGATACCTGGCAATTAGTCACGAGTGGTGACCTCACCGGAAGTTACGTCAAATCAACAAAACCTGTGTCTGTCTTCTCCGGGAACAAAAAAACCAGAATTGGATCTGGTGGGTCTTCTGACCACTTGGTTGAGCAGATGTTTCCCGTCAACACATGGGGAAAAACCTTCGCTACAGTTCCCATTCCCAAGCGATCCGTTGGAGATTATTTTAAGTTTATTGCCAGCGAAGACAACACAAGAGTGACGATATCTGGTGGATACAGCTCATCTTTTACAATTAGTAGGGCAGGATACATGGTCCAGAAGCTAATTTCTTCTAAGGCTTATTGCAAAATTGTGGCAGACAAACCCATCATGGTGGTCCAATTCGTCCAATCCCAGCAGAGTTCTTCTGAGCAGTCCGACCCTGCTATGATGATTATCCCCCCTGTTGAACAGTACGGAGCTGACTACACTTTCACAACTCCCAAATATTCTCTTGGGTCCTACAACAACTACTTCATGTTCATTGTTGAAGAAAGCAAAGCGTCTGGATTAAGAATCGACGGGAAAGCATTTCCAACAAACACCAAATTTAACAAAATCTCGGGAACCAATCTAATTGGGGGTTACATATCTATCTCCGAGGGAACCCACACGGTTCGACACACCTCACCTATCGCCATCTTTGGTGGTTTCCTGTATGGGCAGGCTAATTATGAGACATATGGGTTCACAACTGGTATGCGAATGGCCAAAGTTAACGCTGTAAGTATGCTGTTTTTGGGTGTTTTTGCAAGGGAAAAAATTAACTTATTATCTTAAGGTCAAGATTTAGTAAATGAAGGGTGCCTACATTTATCAAATTTAAAACATAAATTCCTTTATTGATGCTTTACAACTTTAGCTTGGTCAAATAAGGTGTTTCTGGGCATAAATTGAAGGTAAATAAGATGAAAAACTGTATTTTAAACTGTCATTTCATTAAAAAAAATAAGAAAACCAGTCATGAATATGGGAGTTTTTTTTCAAATTCGCCATAGGAAATGCATCCAAATTGCCTACACTCTTTCAGAAAACGGTAATCAGTATGTTCATGGCCTGTTCTTTAAATCAATATCAAATTTAATATAGGTATTCGGTTAACTTTTCATATGATTTCAAATTAAATTGAATGTCATGGAAACACCCATTTTCTACATAATTCTGCTAAAGATGTAAAGTACGGGAAAAAGAAAGTTGAAATTGATTATGGCGTCATAATGGAACAAGCGCCAAGAAATTAGTCTAAAGTTATTTACTAGATCTTGGCCTTAAATTCTAAAAACTTTACCTCTTACAATAATAATATTATCTGCATTAAACAAAGTGTATATTAGGAAATCGCGTTGGACGAACAGTATGTTTTTATTTGAATATTCATAGTATAATACCGGTATATTGTCTAGATTTATATTCCTATGCTAATTGCTGTTTTATTTATTCACATTACATGTAATGTCGCTTAAATTCATACTCCTAAACTAACTGATTATTTAAGTATTCACATTGCAAAGAATATCGCCTAGATTTGTATTCCTACGCCGACTGTGACGGGTGACGGTATTGACAATGATTGTGATGGCAAGATTGACGAGGAACTGTGTACTCCAGAAAACAAAAATAAAGGTGAAAAATCAATATTATTAAGAAATTTGTCGTAGATTTTTAGCTCACCTGAGCCGAAGGCTCAAGTGAGCTTTTCTGATCACATTTTGTCCGGCGTCCGTCTGTCCGTCTGTCTGTCCGTCTGTCTGTCTGTCCGTCTGTCCGTCTGTCTGTAAACTTTTCACATTTTCGACTTCTTCTCAAGATCCGCTGGGCCAATTTCAACCAAACTTGCCACAAAGCATCCTTGGGTAAAGGGGATTCAAATTTGTTCAAATGAAGGGCCACACCCTTTACCAAGGGGAGATAATTATGAATTAGAGAAAAATTAATGGCATTTTTAAAAAATCTTCTTCTCAAGAACCACTGGGCCAGGAAAGATGGAACTCATGTGGAATCATCCTCAGGTAGTGTCGATTCAAGTTTGTTCAAATCATGACCCAGGGGGCTAGGGTGGGGCCAAAATGGCCGACCCAAGTTTTACATAGGAATATTTAGGAAAAATCTTTAAAAATCTTTTTCTCAAGAACCACTGGGCCAGGAAAGATGAAACTCATGTGGAATCATCCTCAGGTAGTGTAGATTCAAGTTTGTTCAAATCATGACCCCCTGGGCTAGGGTGGGGCCAAAATGGCCGACCCAAGTTTTACATAGGAATATATAGGAAAAATCTTTAAAAATCTTCTTCTCTAGAACCACTGGGCCAGGAAAGATGAAACTCATGTGGAATCATCCTCAGGTAGTGTCGATTCAAGTTTGTTCGAATCATGACCCCCGGGGCTAGGGTGGGGCCAAAATGGCCGACCCAAGTTTTACATAGGAATATATAGGAAAAATCTTTAAAAATCTTTTTCTCAAGAACCACTGGGCCAGGAAAGATGAAACTCATGTGGAATCATCCTGAGGTAGTGTAGATTCAAGTTTGTTCAAATCATGACCCCTGGGGCTAGGGTGGGGCCAAAATGGCCGACCCAAGTTTTACATAGGAATATTTAGGAAAAATCTTTAAAAATCTTCTTCTCAAGAACCACTGGGCCAGGAAAGATGAAACTCATGTGGAATCATCCTCAGGTAGTGTAGATTCAAGTTTGTTCAAATCATGACCCCCTGGGCTAGGGTGGGGCCAAAATGGCTGACCCAAGTTTTACATAGGAATATATAGGAAAAATCTTTAAAAATCTTCTTCTCAAGAACCACTGGGCCAGGAAAGATGAAACTCATGTGGAATCATCCTCAGGTAGTGTCGATTCAAGTTTGTTCAAATGATGACCCCCGGGGCTAGGGTGGGGCCAAAATGGCCGACCCAAGTTTTACATACGATATATATTGGAAAAATCTTTAAAAATCTTTTTCTCAAGAACCACTGGGCCAGGAAAGATGAAACTCATGTGGAATCATCCTCAGGTAGTGTAGATTCAAATTTGTTCAAATCATGACCCCCGGGGCTAGGATGGGGCCAAAATGGCCGACCCAAGTTTTACATAGGGAGTTATAGGGAAACCTTTTAAAATCATCTTTTCAAGTAATTCAAAGCTATGATTAGAGATATTAATATGGAATCATCTTCAGGTAGTGTAGATTCTAGTTTGTTCAAATCATGAACCCCTGGGGGAAAAATTGAAGCCCCCCCCCCCCAGTAAACTTTCAGTTCTGATCTGATATGTGCTTTTTCCTAGCCAATGTGCTCAGGTGAGCGCTGTGGCCCCTGGGCCTCTTGTTCATTTGTAGGTTTAAATATAAATCTACACCAACGGCAAGGCATCTTTCTTTAACTTATGACCATTTGCTTTGAATGATAAGATTGATATGAAATTTGTCATTTTCTTTTGTTTACAGATGATGACGGCGATGGAAAGATTAACGAAGACTGTGCTAAACCTCCACCGGGTAAGTCTATAGTTTTAATCGAAACAGAGCAGCTCTTTTGTAAAAACAAAAAAATATTTGAATTAGGATATACATAATTATTTATTTTAGTTGACGGTAACTGGGCAAGTTGGACTTCCTATGGTGCATGCTCAGTGACATGTCAACCAACTTCTGGCACGGTAACTGGAACTAAAACCCGAACCCGAAGCTGTTCCAATCCGGCCCCTGCTTATGATGGAAAACAGTGTGACGGTTCCGGGACGCAAACCTCATCTTGCTCGCCAACCAATCCCTGTAGAGGTATGTTAATTTCTATTTAAATGCTTTTTAAATGCTAAAATAAATCAGTTACAAGTATAACAAAATGGTACAAGAAATTTCTAAAATGTTTGGTTTTAATTTAGTATGAACAACTCAAAACCCGAAAACCTATCCATATTTGAGTTTACTTAGATAAATGTCAATCAGAATGTATTAAACTATTTAAAGTTGACGGACAGTGGGGATCCTGGGGGTCATATGGCGCATGCTCTGTGACCTGTGGAAGTGGTTTGAAATCCCGCGCAAGATCTTGTAACAACCCTTCTCCAATTGGAGGTGGAAGTTACTGTACCGGAAGTTCTACATCAACTGCAACGTGTACATTATCTGCCTGTCCAAGTAAGTTAAACAATCTTACATTCACCTAGCTCTTTAAATACTTACACTGTGCCTTCATTGTACCTTTATGACTACATATATGTATACCATCATGATTTTTTTTCTGAAAACAGTGGATAAACATACCCAGAGAATACTGATGAAATGATTTAAATTATAGAGGTAAATTTCATTTCCTCTACATTTATTTACATGTATTTATTTCAGTTGATGGTAAATGGGGCTCATGGGGATCATACGGATCCTGTTCTAAAACTTGTGGTAGCGGAACACAATCAAGAAGTCGCTCCTGCTCTAATCCCGCCCCTCAACATGGCGGGAGATCTTGCTCTGGATCTAGTTCATCATCTCAATCTTGTAACACTCACAATTGTCCAAGTGAGTTTATCGATCACCATTTTAATAGACTTTTAATTCATTCCATTATCTCGGTGAAAAATTCCTGAAATATTTTTTTAAAAGAAGACCATTTGATTAAAATGGAAAGAAGTACCTCATATTGTACTTTTGCAGTTGATGGTAATTGGGCATCTTGGGGTTCATACGGAGCATGCTCCTTGACTTGTGGCGGCGGTGTCCAATCACGAAGCAGAACGTGTACAAACCCCACCCCTCAGTATCTAGGAAAGAACTGTGCTGGATCTGGTACATCTTCGCAAAGCTGTAACACACATAACTGTCCAAGTAAGCAGCCTTAAAAAAAACGTATCAATATATACAATGCTTGGCAAATACTACATGTAATTTTATGACTTGTATTTTATATTGAACACTAACGCATTCACCATGAAAAATGTTTATTACGAGGGGCGTTCAATAAATAATGTCATTAGGGCTCAGAAAGAAGCAAACGGCGCTTTTCAATGATTTAGTCTTCATGATTTTACTTATTAATCTATTTTAATTCAAACACATGTCCGCAACATTTTTTATCCATTTTCTGATTGTTTTTAGAACTTATTTTTGGGTATGACCCTTAGTATACTGGAAAATGGCAGATCCAATGATTTCCTGGACTTGTTTTTTCCTTCTGAAAGGTGTTTTATTCAAGTTTGGAAATAGAAACAAGTCAAAAGGTCAAAGATCTGGCAAATATTGTTAATGTGAAAAACATTAACTTTCTGTTTATCCCGTAAACCCCTTTACACTTTAGGGCGTGCGGATTTAAAAGCTGTCGTGAAGAAATTCAATGTAGTGGATTCCTGATTCTGGGTCCTTTCTCTGATAAACCTTTCAATTTCTTTGCAAAAAAACTGCTTTCTAGACACCTCCAGATATTAAACTGTCTCCCCGAATACGAATTTGAACAATAATACCACTAATATTTAAGAAAATTGCATATAAATCTGTTTTTGTGATCTTGCTTACCTTTGCTCTTAACAGACTTTCGCCGTTTTTATCAAGTACATCTTATGGTAAATTTTGTTTTAATGGTTTTAAGCAATAGATTCATGTTCCAATATCTGTTTGAATATAAAACAAACGTGGATTATTAAAATTACTGATATTATAAATTATTGTTAAGACTTTTGTACACGCTGTCGTTTTCACTAATTTTTCAAAATACAGGGTGACCTTAGAGTACCAAGCTTAATTACTGTCAAACATTTCTTTAAAACAGTGTAAACTACTCCCGATATGATGTCTATCAAATTTGCTTTGTGTCTTAAAGTCAATCATACAACATCAAATATTATTTGTTGAAATATGGCAAACAGTACATAAGTTGTTATAATTTTTGTTGACAAGGAGGGTACCCATTTTTGAAGCCCATTATATAATTTTTTATCTTTGAAATCCACCTGCTAATTTGTCTATAAAACAGGCATCCGTTGCTGTAAATATCACATATTTCAGTGAATATTTCTTTGGGATTTTTAACAAGTTTTACAGCAGCTTTAATGTTGCTTTTATTTTTACTCTAGTTTACTGATTCTTTACCATTCATTTATAATGCAGTGTCTCGAGTAGCCCTTGTTTCCCAGCTTCTCACGATAAAACTATGTGATGAAAAGTGGTCACATAAACTGTTATAAATTCATTAAAGATTCACTAATGAGAGAAAGTCAAGTTTTACGTCATATGACTACTATGTTGTATGTAATCGAGCTAATGACATTATTTATTGAACGCCCCTCGTATGTCACCAGGATACAGTTCGTCAAAAATGCAGAAATGTTGCTTTAAAAATAAGGTAAAAGTCAAAAATGGCGTATTATAATGTACGCTGAATTCGTATTAACAATAGTAACTTGTAAACTATAAACTAACCACTTTTCTGTTTGTGCAGTCACAGAGTCTTAGATTACGTCAAAGTGAATTGATTTAATTAGCATGATATTGTTATCAACAGTTGATGGATTCTGGGGCGGCTGGGGATCTTGGGCTACCTGTACAGAGACGTGTGGAGGCGGAGTCCAATCCCGATCCCGATCTTGTAGTAATCCCACTCCACAATATGGCGGAGCTTATTGTACTGGGTTCTCTTCCGACACTCAAAGATGCAACACCCACAATTGCCCAAGTAAGTATTAAAAGATGCTAATATTTTCATTTGTAGAAATGAATTAAATTGAGCTCACTTTAGAGGAAATCATTTTTCTCTATTTTAATTCTTAGTTAATGGAGGCTGGGCATCGTGGGGTTCCTGGGGAACATGTACGGTGACTTGTGGTGGAGGTACACAGACACGTTCACGAAGCTGTTCTGACCCCGCCCCTCAATATGGCGGTCTGTCCTGTCCCAGTTCTTCCACATCCAGTCAGTCCTGTAACACACAGAACTGTCCCAGTAAGTCATCTTCTATTCCACTAAAGTGTCGATTTTCTTTGTTATATTAATGAATGGATATTGAAAGGAAATGATTTTTTTCTACCAGTTCATATAAGTCTCCATAAAAATAAATATGTATAGAAAAAATGGATTTGATAATAAGATTTAACAGATAGTAACATAAATATTACCAATAAACCCGTTTTATTGTGCCAATTAGTTGATGGCGGTTTCTCTAACTGGGGATCCTGGGGTACCTGCACCGTAACTTGTGGTGGAGGAACACAGGTGCGCACGCGCAGCTGTTCTAATCCTGCTCCACAATATGGCGGTGCACAGTGTTCAGGGGCGACAAGTCAGAATCAAAACTGTAACACACAAGTCTGTATCAGTAAGTTCAATTTTCTTTTCTTATTTTCTTACATTATTTCATCAAATCATATAGGCCAATTTAAAGTATGAACATGAAATACCCGCAATCAGAAACAGTGCAAGATTAATGCTCTTGTTTTAAAGACTTTTCTTGAAAAACAAAAATTTGCAATGTGTCTTGGTAGAAATTATAATTGCGTATTGCAATAATGTTCTTAGGGAACTCAGTAATCGGATACATATGATTGGTTCTCGTTTAATAGTAATCAAACAATTATTTCATACATCAATAGTATTTTGTACATTTTAACTTATCCTAGACGTAAACAAAAAGGATACCTGAGAAAGCATACGTTTGTTGAATGTTGACCGATATTTTTTTTTTCCAAATCTCTAACCACTATATCAAATTATTAAATTCATTGTTGTGAACAGTCGATGGAGCCTGGAGTCAGTGGGGTGCCTGGGGAACCTGCTCTGTATCTTGTGGTGGCGGGAAACGGTCACGTGCTCGCACCTGTACCGATCCTAAACCAGCTAATGGCGGTAAAAGCTGTACCGGTGATTCTAGTATGTTGGAGGATTGTAATAGTCAATTCTGTCCCACTCCAGCCGCCGGAGCCTATGTACAGGTAGATACACCAATTAATATTCACATTCAGCCAACATACAAGTTATGATAAAACGTGGTCCAGATATAGTTTATAATAAATATGTGGTTTCAGTCATGGTACTGAAATAATTACTCGACATACAGGTAACAATATTGCGTAGTAGTTTACTTAAGGTTAAGATGATTTTTTAAAATATGAAATAACATAATGTAATTATATTCTACGTATAAAGGACAGTCTATTTATAAATGATAATAATTATAGTTTGTTTAAGTCTACGAACATTTCTTAATTGATGTAAAATGTATATGCACATAGATTTTACAATATTACGTAGAATCAAAGAAAGGGTTTTCTGAAAAGGATTTTCTTTTCAATTCATTAATATGTTTCACAGTATTTCTCTCTGTCTTTTCCTTTCTGTCTCTCTCACTCTCACAGACCCGCAAGTACCCTCACGCACTCTCTCAAAAATAACCGTTAATTCCTTTTAATGAACATATTTTGAAAATGTTTCACTATGGTTGCTTTTAAAATAACAGCTGTAAAATAAATATGATACTGATATTGATATAACAATCACATGTCTTCTCTAATCATTGCTCTTTCTACCATAACAGTTATGTCCTACTGGATGGTTCACCTGTAAATCGGGCGGTATAACCTGTATAGATAAAACATTCATGTGTGACTGCGCATCAGACTGCGATGACGGAAGTGACGAAACAACAGGTTATGCTGGGTGTTCTGGTGCTGTTATAGCAATGTGTGAAGAAAACAATTCCGGTAAATTCTCATATTGATGTGTTACACTTTCAATTTTATATAAACTGTTTTACGATATATTTTTTATTATATAATATTCATATTGTCTCAAAACTTATTATACTTTTTTAAAAGGTACGCTTCTGATGTCTCCTTTGGCTTTGCTTACCCTGCTGATAGCTTTGATTTTCAACATATGCCATTAAGTGTACCCGGTCGACGGGAACTGTATATTGTAAACAGAAATAGCAGATGTACAGCGTATATTCATATCAATCAAAAATTCATCAATTGCTGGACTATTTAAAAGTCCTCTGGTAACAGCAGATGACGAAGCACTGGTGGAACGGATAAAACACATATTACATGGCTTCAGCAAAAGAAAACTTATGATTGTTAGAAGATATGCATCAATACAAAACCATAGAACTGATACTGTTTTTCATTTTTAAAACATGTATTGTACTTTTGTTTCCGTTTTATTTGTTCCATATTTCTTCCTATGAAATGAGGAGGGAAATGACTCTTTTATTTTTTTTTAAATTCTAAGCCAGGCTTTCAGGTTAATGATATTAATAAAACACTGACTCTTAAGATATTTCTATGAATGTCTGGGAGTCTTATTGTTTAGTTTTAAAACTTAATATTTGATGAATTATATAAATAATGTATTGAGTCTCATTGCCTGTTTTAAGTGATATATATAACATGTATAATATAATTCACTTTATCCATTATTAATTTTTATTATTGTAATTCCATTTTCATTTGATAAAATACATGGTGACAGGATTCTGAATGCCAATATATTGTACAGTCTTTTCCTTAATACATAATATATGATACGCATGTACATAATTAAAGCTTGTACGAGGGGTGATCAAAAAGTTCGCAAACTATCTCTATATCTACAAAACCACAATTCAGATTAGAATGAAATTCGGTACACACATAGCCATACACAAGGTCTATAAATAACATATGCTGAATAAAGTTTCTCTCCTTGTTTGTGACGTCACAATGTGAAAATGACGTCACTATTTAGGTCACTTGTGACGAAAAATGGTTGTCTCAGTCGACCTCGTTCACCAAACGACTGTACAATTTATTGTAATATCTTAAAAATCCCTCTACATTATCATATAATAATTTTTACACAGTTTATTGAGATAAATGAGTTCCTATAAATTCAATTAATGATTGGATTAATCGTTTTAGTGAAGGAAGGCTGATGGTTAAAAATGATACTTGTCATCTTGCCCAGTGAAAGCAAGTTTGAAAAGATATGTATTTTTAATTAAGCAATTTGCTATCAAAGACCTCCAATTAGCACTTTGAAATATAGTTGAATATTTGAACAATGATATAAGTATTAAATACCTAAGATATCGTTTACTTTAGATTTTAAACATATTAGATATGATAAAAAGGATGCACCCATTCTCTATCCACCTTGAATAAAGGTCTCTCCTGAGACAGAAGATTTGTGTTTTAATGGTCGCCATGCTTATTTTTGGAAAGGATGTTATTATCCACCCATTCTGTTGCCGAGATATGACCATTTCTGACAAATTAACTGTTCTTGTCATAAAAATTAACTCACATGGAAAGAAATATAAAACTCGGAAAAATCTTTTAACTTTTGTGACAGAACGCTACGGAGGGGGTCACGTGACTGCCAATATCACGTGATTCGCGCATGCGCAGAACGTTGGTTGATGTGCATTAAAATCGGGGAGGATTAATTTAAAATATAATCAACATTAAAACCAAATATTGTTTCTTGTATGGAAGTTATTCAATTAGTTTGCGAACTTTTTGATCACCCCTCGTACATGCGCTTTATAGGAGGCATTCTTTCCATTTCAAATTTTGATGAAATGAATGTTGTAAATTAAAATGTTTGAAGTACATTTTGATATTTTTATCACACTTTTGACATTGGGAGACTGATCCCAATGGGATGGGACAGACTCCAGTGTGGCAGGGGAAATCTCAAAGGAATAAATCTCTATGGCAAAGGACAAAAACAGTAGGTTAGGACCTCAACGACAGTTTTTACCAGTAGACTTTGGTGAATGTACATCTCGAGTGACACGGGACCATTATAAGGTCTTATACAAAGGAGCAGCGTATATTAACATTTTTAAATTTTATCAAATATAAATATCTAATCCTATTTGTCTAAAGGCCATAAACGGGTGGATTTTTTTGAATTACGATATGAATTGAAACAAAAAAAAAAAAGATCTTTTGAAGACTATTTTTTTCTTTCAAACGATGACGGTGGTGTACTTAAATAATTGCGTTTTTCAAAGTTAATTGAACTTAATTGATTTCTAGAGTATTCTTGAATATTAACCTTTAAACCATCTCTAATATCATAAACAGATTAACGAAATCTACAAGGACTGGTCTTATCTCGGATTATTTGTTTTCTTTTGTTCCAAGATTAGCAAGACTGTACAGATGTGAAACATATATTAACCTTTAATGTATTTAGGTATTGGGGTGAGAGGCTCAAAAAATCCCTTTGAACCATACTATATACATGTATTTCTGTTTAAATATATATATTTAACTGATTCGTTGACCTTTAAATTAGGTAGAAATGATGCGAGTTAGTCATACTCATTTTGGAACCACGTCAGAATTAATTAAAAACGCTATCACCTTTAAAGATAAAAAATGTCATAAAAGACAAATTTAGTTTTGAGAAGAAAAATTACTGGTATAATTTTTTTCACAGATCATTTAATTATTCGGAAAATGTTTGTATAATTTAAAGTTTTAATTTTTCTTATAAAATTTAAAGTTTCAAGTTTGTATAATTTTCTACGAGGATACAAAACTATTTATTTAAACAAGATACTTTTAAACTTATTTCAGGAATCTTACTGATAGGTGCATCATGGGTACATCATGCAGAATATTTAAATTATATAAATAATGAGTCATGATAGTAACGATCACGAGAATTAAAGATATGGGAAACAGAAATCCCAAAAAATCTGAAGGAAATATCTACAGAGGTTATTGTTAAACACTGTTGAAAATATAAAGTTTATAAATTATCCTGTAAAATGTATTAAGGAAACAATATCCTTAACTTTCTACATTCAATACCGTTTTGCACTTTTTATATCTTAAAATTTCCTATTCAACTTCTAAATATCCAAATCAAAATCTCAAATTCAAATGTTTTACATAGAGATTTAGAACTTTAAAATTCAATATCAAACTTTTTTAAATTTTAACTCTTTTTTAAAAAATTGAATTGTTTTATAAATGGAAAATAAATTTGCTCGCAATGGAAATTCACATTTGAAAACATTTTCTAAAAGTAATAAAAACTGGTGTTCTTAAGAAATGAGTGTAGTAAACAGTTAAACTAAACATCCAACGGAGAGAGAAAAAAACATAAAAAAAGGTGAAGAATCTTAAATGCTCCCAGAAATTCTCATGATTCAAATTGTCAAAAGGACGTATTAAATTTATATTTATATGGATGAAGACCAAAGATTGATATGAAAATTAGTCTATTCATGGCCATGCACGTTTATAAAACTTGATTAATTAAGTCAGCTAAAAATATGTCAAACGTACAATTTATAAATCATATTTCACCATATTTTGAATGCCATATTATTTCTTCTTTGCCAATTTTCCCTTTTGTACTAATTACCAATAACCTGACATTAATCGTCAGTAGGGCCTTTAGTAAAGTTTAGCGTGTCAGCTCTATCGTTTACACATTTTAATCATAATACTTTAATCTTGTGTATAAAACAGGAAAATTATTTCTCCGTCCTTTAGTAACCAACGACCTTTTGTAGAAATGGGTGAGAGAATATATGCTATGTTTATATTTATATAGTGAAAAAGAAAAATATGAAAATTTTAAAACGAATTTGAACAAATTTAGGAAGTTAAAATTATACGAAATTCTTTAACTTTTGAGCATAAATATGGAAACAAAATTGTTTTCCTTTGTAGTATTATATATGTGTTTCATTTTCTTTTCAAAATCTGGAATTTGGGTTTGGATATGCATTTAAAAAGAAGTGAATATTATTTAAAAAAAAATGGGTTTTTTAAATCAAAAAAGGGCTCATGAGTAATATTGTGTCAATATTTTTCGAAATCAATTTTGGGAAAGGCAAAATTGATATATTTTATTTCTTTTGAATTAGGTCAATCCAATTCGTGATGACTGGATTGAAATGTGTTTTTTAAATAATGCAGAAATAAGTATCGTTTTAGAACAGATATTAGAAATGACCAACTAAATGTTAAAAAAAAACTTCATGGGAGATTATCAGTACATGTTGAAAAGAAAAGAAATGCAAAGGAACAGAATTGGAGAAAAAAAGGTTTACAAAAGGAAAAACAATTTATATTAATTATCGTTAAGTATTGAAGATAACATTCTCATTCTACAAGTGAAAATTAGAGAAGCTTTAGTAAATGAACTATTGCAACTTTAAGTAAATTTTGGTATCTGTACCTGTTTGATAAATCAACTAATCATGTGATGCATTGATTTACAAGGTGGCTTAAAACGGAGCGTAGTGACGCTTTTAGCGTTAGCAGCCGTCGTTTTAGGTAGGTGAATTTCAATCTCCTATATTCATGTATTTAAAAAAAATCATTAAATGTTTTTAATATAAAATTAAAGAAAAAGAATATTAGAAAATTAAGGAAATCAATTTTAATTTCCTGGAATTTTTATGTTTAGTTATTATCAAATAAGCAAAAATCAAACAAAATTATATCAAAAGTTGAGTAAATTAGACAATGCCTTAAATTGGATGATAGTAAAAATTGAAATTAAAAGTGAAATTTAATTCAAAAGTGAAGGAATGTTTTCTTCTATTTTCGTAAGTGCAAAGCACCAGTGAAAACATGGAGAGAAAATATGTTTCCAGAGTGAAAATTTTAATATATCGCTATAAATTAATTGAATATTATATTCTCTGTTCGTTGCATTTTCTTCGGGTTTCGCTTTAATTTTAGGAGAGAACTTAAAAATTACGGAAAAACAGATCTCAGTAAATTTCAATAATTTACTTTAAAGATTAATTATATCATTTATATAAAAAGTTAAACTATAAAATTATCAAATAAAATGTTTTTTGGCACTCAACATTTCTAGGTGTTGTTTTACAGACTTCAGAGTTAGGGTTCATGAATTTCACAATATCATAAAATTATTGCATCGATAAATTACAGGTTTTTGTTGTTGAAAATGTTGTCGATTTTTGAATTAAAGGTGTTTTTAATGTATTGGCAAATTATATGCCTAATTTGGCAACAAAATTATTATTTTTAACATGGAATTAAAATTCTAATACAGTCGATGACTGTTGGCACCATATAATTATAATTCTTATATTTTTCCATCAGGAGCCCCAGATAACAGAGGAACTGAGTTTGTCATTGGTTTCATGGAAAACAATGGCGTCTATATAAAAGTGGAGCTCTTTGTCACCACCTCTCGTACCACAACGGTCAGCGTGACGGTGGACTCCCCCAAATGTACCAACCCCAGGATCTCCGAGTCCTTCACCGTCACTGCAGGACAGGTCAAACAGCTGTTCTTCCACCCAAGCATCAGGTTTAATGCTAAATATTCATTTACTTAGCCCATTTCACCTGATTCTACCTATCATATTTCGGAGGTCGTGTTTACTCTGCTTCAATTTCGTATTCTTTAATGGATCTTTGAGCTTGAATACTGTTTGCAATCTCCATACATATTTCACCTAAAGATAAAGGTTTGAAATAAAAAGATAAATAGTTTTTAAATATTTGCCTTACTTTTGTTTATCAACAGTTTTTGAACTTATAATACGGTAATGTTGCAGAAGTTTTGTATAGACAGAGAAAGACGAGACGCATATTTTTGCATTACTAGTACAGTTCAGATATCCGAACCCCAGATATCTGTATGCCTCAGTATCCGTACGATTTTTCGTCAGGACAGAATTTTTAAATGTTATTTTGTCCTGTTTAACTGGTGATTCAGGTATCTGGACGCTTCACATATCCGGACAAATTGACTAGGAACTAAAGTGTCTGGATAAATGAGGCTCCACTGTATATAAATATAACTGATAGTAAATTATTTGAAAAGAACATTGCTTACCTACTTGTTTTTTCCCAGATAAAAAACAAAAGCTTACGAAATCCTCAATATATCATTGTAGAATGGCAGGATCTACTAAATCTAGTAAAGGCATACGAGTTAAGGCCTCGGACGAAGTAGTTATTTACGGGGTTAACAAGGAGCAGTACTCCTGCGACGGCTTTGTTGGTCTACCAATAGATGTACTGTCCGACGAGTACTACCTGGTCACGTGGTACCCTCCTTCTAGGCAGAGTGAGTTGTTAGTAGTGGGTGTGCAGGACTCCACTTCCGTCAGTATAACTGTAACTCAACACATTGGGAGCAGATATATAACTTATGGCGGCAAAAGATACTATAAAGGAAACGTTGTAAAAGAAACCCTCCATAAATACGATACCTGGCATTTGGTCACGAGTGGTGACCTCACCGGAAGTTACGTCAAATCAACAAAACCTGTGTCTGTCTTCTCTGGGAACAGGAAGACCAATATTGGGCGTGGTGGTTCCTCTGACCACTTGGTAGAACAAATGTTTCCCGTCAACACTTGGGGAAAAACCTTCGCTACAGTTCCCATTCCAAAGCGATCCGTTGGAGATTATTTTAAGTTTATTGCCAGCGAAGACAACACAAGAGTGACGATCTCTGGTGGATATAGCTCATCATTTACAATCAGCAGGGCAGGATACATGGTTCAGAAGCTGATCTCTTCGAAGGCTTATTGCAAGATTGTGGCAGACAAACCCATCATGGTGGTCCAATTTGTCCAATCCCAGCAGAGTTCTTCAGAGAAATCTGACCCTGCCATGATGATTATACCCCCTGTTGAACAGTACGGTGCTGACTACACTTTCACCACTCCAAAATACTCACTTGGTTCTTACAATAACTACTTCATGTTCATCATAGAAGAAAGCAAAGCAGGCGGATTGAGAATCGATGGAAAAAATTTCCCAACAAACACCAAATTCAACAAAATCTCGGGAACCAATCTCATTGGAGGTTATATATCTATCTCAGAGGGAACCCACACGGTCCGACACACCTCACCTATCGCCATCTTTGGTGGTTTCCTGTATGGGCAGGCTAATTACGAAACCTATGGATTCACAACTGGTTTGAGATTGGCCAAAGTTAACGCTGTAAGTACTTGCTTTTTGCTTGTAGAGGATAGGAAAACGAATATAATTTTGATTTTGAACACACAAGTTTCCACGCCTAATTGTTATACTGAAGATATTTCATAAAGCATGTACTATAAAGACGGCAAAGGATTTCAATGACATATTCCTTTCAAACATATCCGCACAAAATGTTTAAGACTCAAATAAAAATAAAGTTAAAGTAAAAACTTGTTTTAATACTGAATATTCATATTGTATGCTATATCACTTAGATTTGTATTTCTACGCAAACTGTTTATTCATAGTATAATGTTTTTTGCCTAGATTTGTATTCCTTCGCCGACTGTGACAGGTGACGGTATTGACAATGATTGTGACGGCAAGATTGACGAGGAACTGTGTACACCAGAAAACAAAAATAAAGGTTAGAGTTCAACAGCTAAACGTAAACAGAATATATTCAAGAGTTTTCCTTGATTGCTGATTTGTTCTTTTGTCTTTAGTATATTTATTCCCAGTATTAAAAAGAATTCACAACTTAATCTTATTTAAAAAACTATTTTATGACGTTTTCTAGTTTTGAATGACGTTATTCATTTCTACTTATAGATGATGACGGTGATGGAAAGATTAATGAAGACTGTGCTAAACCTCCACCAAGTGAGTTTCCTGTTGAAATTGCAGAGTCCTCATTTGGTTATCAAAATCAAATACTGATTTTGACTGAACATATATTTCTATCTTAGTTGATGGTAATTGGGCTAGTTGGACATCTTACGGCGCATGCTCAGTGACATGTAAGCCAACATCTCGTACGGTGACTGGAACTAAAACCCGAACCAGAAGCTGTTCCAATCCGGCCCCTGCCTACGATGGGAAACAGTGCGCTGGGTCAGGCACTCAAACATCATCGTGTTCGCCAACCAATCCCTGCAGAGGTATGAATCTACGTATAATCACTTAAAAATTTCAACTACTCGTACAATTTTTGGGTGAAGTTTTCCACGAACCACCCTTTTTGCTTATAAAAAGAAAAACAAACTTTTTTGTTTTGATTTCCTTTAAACATTTAATAAAGAATGCAATAATTTTTTTCTGGCTATAGGAAAAGATCCTGTAGTACACTGTAATCATTTTTCCTTTTTCAAATTCTAGTTGACGGAAAGTGGGGATCTTGGGGGTCATATGGCGCATGCTCCGTCACCTGTGGAAGTGGTTCAAAATCCCGTTCTAGATCCTGTAACAACCCTGCCCCAGCAGGAGGCGGAAGTAACTGCCCTGGAAGCACTTCATCGACTGCAACTTGCACATTGTCTGCTTGTCCAAGTAAGTGATACTCTAACGACAGTTGAACATATTAAGACATCAGTGTACATATGTTCATGTATATCTAGGATTACTAAGAAAATCTGAAAAAGATCTTCATTTGTTTCAGTTGACGGTAAATGGGGCTCATGGGGATCATATGGGTCCTGTTCTAAAACTTGTGGTAGCGGAACACAATCAAGAAGTCGCTCCTGCTCTAACCCCGCCCCTAGATATGGCGGAAGATCTTGTTCTGGGTCTACCTCATCGTCACGAAGTTGCAACACACACAATTGTCCAAGTGAGTTTATTGATCATCAGTTAAATAAACCTTTAATTCATTCCATTACCTCGGAGTTAGTCTAGCGTTGTTCAATGTACATAAAAATGACATTCCATCGATTTGTTTCGTCTTTTTTTCAGTATTTCAGCATTAAATTTTGCAAATTATATTACAGTTTTATCCATAGAAAACTAAATAATTTGGTTCAATAAATTTTATCAGTTGACGGAAAGTGGGGGTCCTGGGGATCGTATGGCTCCTGTTCCTTGACCTGTGGTGGAGGCACACAAACCAGAAGCAGAAGCTGTAGCAACCCCGCCCCTCGATATGGCGGGAAATCGTGTTCTTCATCCGGAAGCTCATCTCGCAGCTGTAACACACATAATTGTCCAAGTACGTTAATTAACTTCTGGGTGAATTCATGTATGCAAGCATTTCCATTGTTCAAATTTTTATTATATGATATCAAATAACATATCAGAGAATATTTCCATCAGTTTAAAGTTGACTGTTTATGTTTTATGACCCCAGGTGGAAGCTTCATTCTCTCTCTGAATATGATGTAAGAAAATTAATTTGATCGACATACATGTTGTACATAGACAAATCAGTAGTTTAATATTCCTTGTGCGCATGCGACAGGTCGTGAGTTGGACCCAAGCCAGTTCATAAAAAAATTCCCTTTGTTACTGATATTTTTTCCTATCATAAAGCATTAACAATTTATACATATAGCTTCAATCCCTCATCATGAGCCCCAAAACAGTGTAATCTGTGTTTCTTACCATATAGCTAGACTCATACGTTTTGCTGATATAATATCTCCACATGAGTAAATGTCATTTCTAAAGTACGTTACTCTACAAGAAATACTGTAAACGTACTACATTTGGCGGTGTATTCTTTTTAGCGGCATGGCGGTACGCAACAACCGCTAAATCAAGTACAACGCTAAATGTCTCGCAACTAAACACATAAATAAGAATATGAAGAAATGCGCTAAATGAAGTGTACGCTAACTTATTCAAAATTCAATTTCCGCCAAATATCGTACACGCTAAATATAATACATTTACAGTATATCATTCATTTCTCTTCAGTTGACGGTAAGTGGGGATCGTGGGGATCTTATGGGTCGTGCACTTTGACCTGTGGCGGAGGAAGACAAACCAGAAGTCGGTCCTGCTCTAACCCTGCCCCTCGATATGGCGGGAAGTCTTGCTCGGGGTCAACCACATCTACACGAAACTGTAACACACATAACTGTCCTAGTGAGTTCTATGCTTCAACTTATATATATTAGGCAATATTTTTTCGTAGTTCATGAAATGAATTCTTATATCAAAATGGAATTAAAAGCAATTATGATAAAACGACAAAGTCAAAAAATATTATTTTTATATTTTTGCAGTTGATGGTAAGTGGGCATCTTGGGGTTCCTACCGCTCATGCTCCTTAACCTGTGGTGGCGGTGTCCAATCACGAAGCAGAACGTGTACAAACCCCGCCCCTCAGTTCTTAGGAAAGAACTGTGCTGGATCTGGTACATCCTCGCGAAGCTGCAACACACATAACTGTCCAAGTAAGCCGAATTTTGCGTGAGAAAAATTACTTTATATTAAAAAGAATCAGCTTTTAAATGAATAACATTTACATCAGTGTTAAAGGCAAGACTTTGCCTGATAAGAGATATAAAAGCTCTGAGTTCAAGCTATGGAGCGTGAAAATGCCAGAATGAAAAGACTTACCAATTTTTGTTCACAGTTGACGGTTTCTGGGGCGGCTGGGGATCCTGGGCTACCTGTACAGAGACATGTGGAGGCGGAGTCCAATCACGATCCCGATCTTGTAGTAACCCCACTCCACAATATGGCGGAGCTTATTGTACTGGGTTCTCTTCCGCTACTCAAAGGTGCAACACACATAACTGCCCAAGTAAGCGATACATTTATCATTACCATATATCAATTACCTAGTTTTTTCCCCATATGTGAATAAATTGAATGTTATACACAATCTTTAGTGTATGAAGATCATTTGGATCACCGTTTTAATGGAATAATTATTACAGTACACGGAAGCTGGGCATCGTGGGGATCCTGGGGAACATGTACGGTGACCTGTGGGGGAGGTACACAGAGGCGTTCACGAAGCTGTTCTAACCCCGCCCCTCAATATGGCGGTCTGTCCTGTCCCAGTTCTTCCTCATCCAGTCAGTCTTGTAACACACAGAACTGTCCTAGTAAGTCAAAAATCAGTTTGTTTTTATGAAATTTTGTAAATTTAAAAATATTGATATTAATATCAAAAATTATTTCAACTGTTCAAGTATTTGAAAGTGACATATAAAACGTTCTTTCAAGTTAGGAGAATAACAGGTATAATCACATTAACGGACCACCTTACCCGTTTTTATTTTGACAATTAGTTGATGGTGGTTTCTCCAACTGGGGATCCTGGGGCACCTGCACCGTAACTTGTGGTGGAGGAACACAGGTGCGCACGCGCAGCTGTTCTAATCCTGCTCCACAATATGGCGGCGCACAGTGTACAGGGGCGACAAGTCAGAATCAAAACTGTAACACACAAGTCTGTATCAGTAAGTATGAATTTTCAGTTATTTTGATTTCATCTACACAAATTAAACTAATCAATTTATAAATGACTTTTTTAAATAATCCATTCAGTAATTCAAGATGTAACAGTTTTATATAAAAGATTTGTACATGTTTTCAAATATATTCTCAGAGGATGTAAAAGATTTATCTAGATATCATGCAAATCCCGTGCATAGTTATACAAATTCAAGAATGTTACTGTATACACTAAATTTCAGATTAATTTTTTTAAAAGCCTTGCATTAAAAATTGAGAAAGTGTACATCTTGGTAGTTATGTTGGCTAACGTTATTGCAATGAAATGTTTCCTTCGTATAGTCGATGGAGCCTGGAGTCAGTGGGGCGCCTGGGGAACATGTTCTGTGTCTTGTGGTGGCGGGAAACGGTCACGTGCTCGCACCTGTACCGATCCTAAACCAGCTAATGGCGGTAAAAGTTGTACCGGTGATGCCAGTGTTTTGGAGGATTGTAATAGCCAAGCCTGTCCCACTCCAGCCGCCGGGGCCTATGTACAGGTAAGAACAAAAAGTACATGTATACTTCTCACAGGTTTGAATAAATCATGCAAATAGTCTACATACAAGCTGCAATAAAAAAGTAGCTATTAACGGGTAACGATATACAAATACAAAGTCTACTTAAAGGTAACGATAAATAGTCTTTATACTATGCTCAATTGAAAAATTAAACATACACTTTTCCAATACACTACATCAGTCAAAGGGCAAATATTGTGACACTAGGCATATCTTGCATGATAAAAATTGGTTTTTTTCCTACTAAATAAAGATTGATATTAGACTTTTTCTTTTGTGTATCATTACAGCTATGTCCTACCGGATGGTTTACCTGTCAATCAGGTGGTATAACTTGTATTGACAAAACGTTCATGTGTGACTGCGCCAACGACTGCGACGACGGAAGTGACGAAACAACCAGTTATGCCGGATGTTCTGGCGCAGTTATAGCAATGTGTGCAGAAAATAGTTCTGGTATGTTTTTAATTTTTAAATTCAATACTTTATTATGTTATTGAGTGATATATGTTACTTTTTTATAGGTATTTCGATGACGTCATTTTTATCTTAGACATCAAAAATATTCATCATGATTAATTTCGCTAAGTTTGCATATTAGAGCTTTTGTACTATGATTGTATTAAAATCGTATTAACATTTTTTAGCTAAAGTTAAGAAAAGAGGCACCTCAGTTATAAAACTTTAATCTATAAGAACATGTACTACTTTATTGCACTGCCTTTTTCTACAAAAAGTAAAACCCATGTAAAAAGTGGAAATATTTGACGCTAACAGCATAAAACATATCCTTAAGCTATTGATAGACTCTTTACTTAATAACACTAAATAATACCTTCTCATTTTAAAAGGTACTCTGTTGATGTCACCCCTTGCCTTCTTGGCCCTGCTGCTGGCCTTGGTTTACAACACCAATTATTAACTGTTCCCCGGAGCAACAGATACACGGACCAAATCTGTCTAATGTGTAAAGTTACTATACAGAGGATATAGCTGCTATATACTGTGGATTCATCTTCATCAGCACGAAGTCATTGTTAATTGTTCGAACATCATCATCTGACGAAGTACTGGAACGGATTACATTAAGGCATATTCATAAAACTGAAATTCAGAAAGGAAGACATCAATTGTTGGATAATTTGCATTGTTTTAACATTTAATTTTTTTTTCCTTTACGCATAACAAGTTCTTGTTTTGTTAACGTATTCTTTTTCTCATATTTAATAGTTTTTTTTTCTTTTATTAATTTATTAAAGTTTTGAAACACACTTTTGTTTCTTTTTTCTCTTCGACATTTTATACTTTGAAAGTACTTTGAATTCAACAAACCATGTCTATTTTTAAATCTCATTAAAACAGGGTTGGCGTTAATGACATTGAATAATGATCATCAACATTTGTTGTTAATTTTTCTTAGACATTCTATATTTTTACAAATAATAATTTCAGTTATATTCAATTCCTTTCACTTTAATTTGCGTTCAAAACACAAATCACTGTGTATATTATGCAGTCTATTTAAAAAGAATTTAAGATAGTTCAAATATATAATATGATTGTATACTTAACCTTGTGTCTTATTGTCCACTTCCACCCTTTCCATTTTAATTGTCACGTGTAAGTGAATGGTCTTAATGATATAAACACAGACTATGTGTTCATCAGTTCCTATTTACGTTAACTGTTTTTGTTTTGTATGTTTGTTTATATATTGGCATTATTTTATACACACACTAAATAATCCTAGTAAATTCTGACTTGGACAAAGGTTTGAGTTTTGTTTATTTTTATATATTACCAATCTTCTTATAATTTGTTGAAAATTGAGGAAGAATTTCGAGAGAGTATTGTTAATTAAAAAATGATCTATGTAGATTTTCTGATATAACAAATTATTATGTAAACGCGCTAGACGTCTCAAATGCTCGACATAGAATGTAAATATAGACCTGATTTGTTTTTGTTCTTTTGATTGTAAAAGGGTTGTTTAATGGAAGCATATGGAAATAATGCATAATCGCCGTGGAAGGGAATTAATTACATTGTATTAAATACATTTTATAGTTGACCTCACAAATCCGAAAACTAGACAAATATGCTGGATTATAAAACATGAATTCAGACGAGCATACAACTAATGTTTGTAATTTACATCTAAAGACGTGGACAAAAATCAGTTCTTGATCACGTTTAAAAGGGGAAGCATTCAGTTAAAACATTTTACTACTTCCCCCTAATGTTATTTCTTTAGAAGAGACAATCTTGTGTTGTTTCTCAATAGCATGTATTAAAAAAAATTTTGAAAACAGAATAGCGAATTGGATATAACTAGATTTCCAGAGCAGTCTAATGTGATTTCCTTAATAGGATTTATAATTCCGTAAACCGATGAACGAAACACATTTCTGCCCGACCTTTTCTTTCTTGTTTTGTCCCAGGATAAATACTTGTAGATTTAATAATAGAAGTTCACCTTTTGTATTTGGCGAATCGACAATCAACACCCCACTGACCTTAAAACATTCCCCCTCTTTCAAATAAACAAATGCACCAATACCTTTATACTTAGAACCCCTGGACTGATTTAATTTTAAAGTATCTTAGATTGTACCTTCGACCTTTAGAACCCTTTTGCAACTAATCTGTTTATCCCTTTAATTGGTTATGATAAACTTTTAAAATCATTTTTAAAACCTTTTGTTTCAGATGTCGGTGTGGTATAATTGTTTAAACGAACGAAAAATTAAAAAGTTTTAATTAGGTTTTAGAAAATTTAAAGGATAAATCTTCTATTGTAGTTAAAATTAAAATTGTAATTTTTAACATAAAAAAAATCATTGAAAATCAGATTTGCCAGATGAAGTGTAGTAAATTATTATAATTTCATTTTGTTTGTATTCTAGTCTCTCATTGGTTGATTTCCAAAAAGGAACGCAAATTATTTCTCAATAACCTGGTTTGGTATGGGGACACACCCCCTTGACAACCAGCTGAATCATCTGTATCCATGCAATCCCCTCATTTCCAGTCCTTGGGATGCATGGAAAATTCCAGATTTAATAACTGTACCTTTAACATCAAACAGTAGCTCGATCTTACCTCTTGTAAACAAACATCATGGCTGCTAGATCTGTGTATCAGTTATTACCTCCCCTTGTTTCATATCACTTCCGTTACTAGGGATGTATTATTGAGCGGCAAATTTGAACTCATAAAAAGCAGCACAATTTTACATCCACAGTTGTTTAATTATTTTAAAATTAAATTATAAGGATATTGTCGTATATTTCAAGTTCTTTGGGATATCTCAAGTCGACATTTAAATTAAATTAACCATTGTCGATTGATAAAACGTCGTCAAGATACCTGAATGTGGAACTGAGTGTCCCACCAAGTGCGTTTTCTTCCTTTATGTAGATGGTTTTGAATACAATTCGTAGGACTATAAAGAAAGGAGTTACCTAATAAACAAGCACAATAAGTGCAATATTCAATTGTTTTTCGAACAGTTTGCTGGAAGACCTGGTATCCAAAGACTACATAAATGTTGTACATGTCCATCAAGAACTCCAGCATGTAATAACTATCAACTTCAGAGTATATATTTGTGTGTAGATTATTGTCATGTAATACAATAATCCATAGCTACTTGTGGGTTAATATTATATAAAAAGCATCCTTTTATTTTCAATACAGTAATAACCGATATCAACAGATCTGTATAAATTCTATGGTTGATGGTTATAATAACGTCATAGTATCAATGTGGATTCCTTAGGCAGACGTTTTTCATACCAATTCTTAAATCTTTTTTTTTTAAATTGAATTTGACTGCTAAATATTCTACATTAATACAGTACAGTGCTGACCAACGCTGTTCTGTTTTCAATATAGATATTAGCTTTTGTTGGTAACCATATGTTTTATATGTGTTTGTATATTTATATATTAATATGCAAATCATTTCGCCCAGATGAAATTAGATTGATTGATTGTATATTGTTTAACGTCCCTCTTGAGAATTTTTCACTCATATGGAGACGTCACCGTTTGCCGGTGAAGAGCTTCAAATTTAGCCTCAGCACTCAGGGCCATTGAGCAGTGAGGGTTCTTTATCGTGCCAGCGCCTACCGTAACATGGGACCTACGTTTTTAAGGTCATATCCGAAAGACCCGTGACTTTCACTTCTAGTGCCGAGCGCTTGGCGAAGGAACAGTCACTACCTATGTTTACGTCTTAGGTATGACGCGACGCCGCGAACAAGTATCGAACCCGGGCCTCCCGATCACGAAGCGAAGATGAAATTTGATTGATTGATTGTATATTGTTTAACGTCCCTCTCGAGAATTTTTCACTCATATGGAGACGTAAGATGAAATTAGAAAAGACCACCCTAAGACCACCCTAATGAAATGAATGACACTTGAAAAAAATATCATAAATGAAATGCAATTTTCTGTCTTCATCTCTGGTTCACTGACTTTGAGTAAGTTAAATAAAAAATAAATCTTATTGAGGGAAATCTCAATATCAGAGAAAGTTTAACTTTATAATGTACAGAAAACAAAAACAGTGGCTATGTTTTTCACTGGCAAATGAATCACAAAATTTAAAGTCATTTTCTTCAAGAGAACGAAAAGGTTAAGTAATCTCATCTTAAATCGATACAGTCACGGTGACAATTCGACCGGTCTCTGAGAAAGAATCTCAATTTAAATCTATTAAATTTTAATTCTTCAATTATGTCAATCCCTTAAAATGTATGCTAACGATGTAAATCTTCTCAATTTTAATTCGCTATTACTCAGCAGTCCTGTGGTCTACTTCTTCTGTGCAAAGGAGCTTTAAGTAGAATGCAAGCGCTTGTATTTGATGCAAATATTACTTTGGTTGTAAACTATACTTAATTTTTTTAAGCATTACAGTAAAATAACAAACTAAAACAAATAGACATAATAAATTTTCTGTTTTCATTTTGACAAATTAATCGCTTAATCTTTCAATCAATAAATTGCATATATATTCATACATAATCAATTATATACAATATTTTTACTGAATGAATATCGATTAATCCACCAAAGAGAGCATTAAGGCGTTTAAGTAATCATCATCATTTTAAATAATTGTGTCATACATTTTGTCTAGAACACTTTGCTTCCACGGGGTAATAGTTGATAACATATGCTTGAGGTTTTGCCAAGTTTTTATACTCAATTTAACCAGAAAACTTGCCAAAAATTAAATCTTCTTTCAGGGATTTTCCTTGTAAGAAGGTGGAATGTTGTGACTGTAGATTAACCCAGTGACCTTATGTATGTGCTAAGCGTAAGCAAAGTTTCTTCTTCATAAGGCTTACAGGAAACGACTGAAATTAGAGGCGTGTCTCAAACTACCAGTGGTCTTTGAGATTTGTTCGGTACATATTTACTCCGGTGGGACGGTTCCAGCAAGCTCGGAAGAAGGAAGAATACTAAAAGAATTTTGCACTGAGCAATGCCCAGAATTATAGGCTATGGCAAATATCAGCATTGAAGAAAATTTTACAGAGATTCTTATAGAGTGCTGTTTTAAAGGCATGCACACAGGTTTCGTACTTTCATTTAATATGCTTTTAAACATGATACATATGGAGATAACGAAAACTTTTCAAGCTCAAAACTCGATTGAACAATACATAATAGTAGCGGAGCAAACCAGGACCTCCAAAATATCAGAGGTGGAATCAGGTGCCATGGAGGAGTGAGCATCCCCGGCCGACCAGTCACATCCGTCGTGTACTCCTTGTCATAATCAGGGAATAAAAGGAAAATTTGCCGTCAATTCAGTGTATTATTATTAAATGGTAATAATTAGTTTGAAAAACTTCAGTCAACATTCGATGTAATTTTAGATTGTAATTGCTGAAAAGTGCATCGTATCGACCATAAAA